GACTCATATTTATGTGATCTCATTTAACTTTAAGATTTTTAAACTATGATTGGCCTCTTGGCGTGTCTCAGAAGTATAGCATATTCATATTTTACTAATATATTTTAGGTACGTTAACTTGAATAGAATCAATTTATTATAATATTAAAGAATAAAACGATGTGTCTATGGTAAGTGACGGATCCATGAATGTTGGTAAGATAGAGCGATCGTTACCGTCGACCTTCAACTGCCACAATAGCGAAATCTTTTATTAATGTTTAATTAACTAATATTAAAAATTCTTCAATCAATATATAAATGTACTAAAACGTAAAAATCATAAACATATGAAAATATAATCCAATACAACCTAAAATAATAAGAAAAATACATGATTCAACTTTTATGGTGGATGATTGAGGGCTAAAATAAGATTAGAATGAATTCAAAAAATTTTAACGACAATCAATATATTAGTCCAAGATATTATAATTGATGAATTAATTAACGTCCTTAGTCCACAGGAACGGTCAATAAGCGTTACGTCAACTTGGAAGTTACTTTCACAAGCAAAGTGACAATATGTAATATTATTCAACTTCAATGACTAAATAGGCTGGAAGAATGCTTTATGCACCAATGTGAAATTTCACACAAACAACTCCCACCAAGGAAAGAAGGAAAAATGAATAAATGCCCAAAAATTGAAAGAAAGGAAAAAAAAAAAAATAGAACTTAGAGACTTAAACGACGTTGGTTAACTCATTCACAAGACAAGTGTTGAGGTGGTCATTTGGGATTGGACTTTGGGGCTTATATCATGAAAAATGAGGGCGTATCAAACTCTTTAAATCAATCAAAGGTGAGTCATCTTCGAACAATTTATTGATCCATCAATGTTTAATTTGATGTACAGAGTTTTTCTTCATGGGATTGGTAAGTCCTCCATTAGAATTATTTTAAAAATAAAAAAAAATTCCTAAATCCCATTTTGTTCAACTCAGTGCATTTGCATTAGCAACAAACAGATCAAAACTCAGATAAAAAAATGAAAATCTAGAAAAATGTATTGTTAATATCTCATTCAGAAAATGTTATTTCAGCCTCCAAGTACGTGGATTTTGATTCTACAAAAAAACTCAATTCGGGAGGGAAATACGACTTACGATATGAGAGAAGAGATAGGGTTTGCTAAGGCTTGAGCTATTACCATGTTGCACTTGATTTTGGAATGAATTAATCCGAGTGTACAGAGCTGTTTCTTCTGTTTTTCACAGATAACTCACATGGGGTGGGGCCCATGTGAGTTAAAATATTGGAAAAAANGGGGCCCATGTGAGTTAAAATATTGGAAAAAACCCCACCCACCCCACCTGCTTGTGCGTATTTGTTTTTACCCTGTTTTTCCTGCTTCTGTACACCAAGTGCGGTTGTTTTGGAATTCATCTGGGGGCCACAATCGGGTACGACAGGTATATGACCAGACCAATCATCTTCACTCCTCAACAGCAGGCCATCAGCTTTGGGTTTAAATGTTTTAAATTATTAACAAAAGGCCCAGTGTCTTTAAAAAAGGCCCGCTACTTTTATTTTTTTTCGAAAAAGGCCTAAACATATTATCTCGTTCTTTGGTATTAAACTCAGCAACCAACGCCAACCTGTAAAAATCGATCTTGTTGCCCGCCAACTTGTAAATTCCTGTTGAGCCAGCATTGGCAGCCGCACCTGCTCGCCGGGTGCCGGCTCCGCCACTATCTGAGGCCTTATTTTATCATTGTGAAGAGGCCCCTATAGTTTGTTTGTGAAGACAAGTTTCTTGTGCAATATATTGAATTTACTTTACTTGAAAAATTAATTACTCCCCATCTCAAAAAAGAAAGAAAGAAAGGAAAAAAAAAGAAGTTACTGGCCAAATCAAGTATTGATATGTTTAATTGATCTATTGTGGAAAATTATAATCGTATATCTGATGACTATCTTATGGCTACATTGGCATGATTGGTTCTATTGATATTGGTAAATCATATTTGACATAATTTTTATTTCGTCAAATCTTTTTATTTTGTTATATATGAGCATGTCTGTTGTGATTATGTTGTACATTATAAATGTGAGTATGAAATAATATAATCATTAAATTCATATATTATTGTCAAATAAAACAAATGACAATAATACTGATCTTATATCACGTGAAATTATTAACTTATTTTATATCATTTGGTTGTTTATTGATTATGAGTACTTGTTGTACGTGAAACATTTAAATAACATTTGCATAATTATTATAAAAGTGATCTTATAGAATTTATTTGTCCTCTCATATAGAATTAATGTTTGTACAATATCGGATTCTGCATATAAGGCTCTAGAAGATGTGACCATAATCAATTATGTTATAATTTTTTGGTGTTTATTGATTATGTGTTAGTAACATTCGACAATGTTTGGCTACTTAACTATTATGAATACCTATTATTTATACAATCACTTCATTGAATTGTCATTAATCCCTAAAGGAGGGAAAAAAAATTGAATTTAATATTAATCAATTGGATTAATAGCAGAAAATTCCCGAGAATATTTTCATGTGTGATATATCCTTACTAATTGGAATCGCAGAAGATTCTCATATTTGAAACATTTTGTGCGAAAAACTCTCATGCCATCAAGATTCGTCAGATTTGCTGTTAAAAACAATAAAAACAATCACTTCACCTGCCTTATCTAAAGCTATGAGCTCTGATTCTATAGTAGATCTCGCAATGCATGTTTGCTTAGTGAATTTCCAAGATACAGCACCACCTGCTAATGTAAATACATATCCACTTGTAGATTTACTTTCATTAGTATCAGAAATCCAATTAGCATCACAATATCCCTTAAGTACAACAGGAAATTTAGTATAATGTATTCCCCAGTCTAGAGTATATCTCAAATACCTCAAGACTCGAATGAAAGCATCCCAATGTTCCCTACTAGGATTACTAGTATACCTGCTAAGTCTACCAACGGCATATGCTATATCAGGTCTGGTATAGTTCATGAGATACATGAGACTACCGATCACTCTAGCATATTCTAAAGTAGAAACGCTAGGACCTGAATGTTTTCTCAAATAACGACTCACATCATAAGGTATTTTAGCAGGAATACAATTGTATTGGTTAAACTTCTTAAGCACTTTTTCTACATAATGTGATTGAGTTATAGTAATTCCGGAATGTGTTACTATTTTAATTCCTAGAATATCATCAGCAACACCCAAATCTTTCATTTCAAAGTGCTTTTTCAGAAACTGTTTAGTCTTATTAATCACATCTAAACTAGTTTCCATTATTAGCATATCATCAACATATAAGCAAATTATCACACAACTATAATCAAATTTGCTATATATGCATTTATCAGCTTTATTTATCACATAACCATTAGATTTCAAAACTGTATCAAATTTTTTATGTCATTGTTTAGGGGCTTNTCATATTCACTATTTATAGCTTCCTTCCAAAATATAGAATCTGACGAAGACATAGCTTCATCAAAGGTACTAGAATCATCCTCTACTAAATAGGTTAGAAAATCAGGACCAAAAGAAGTAATAGTCCTAGGTCTTTTGCTTATCCTAATTTCAGCTTCTTCTAATACGGTAGGCTACTCTCTAACTCTAGGAGGAACACTAAAAGAGTTACTTGGTCCTGCAGACTTTTCTTGAAAAGGGAATCTATTTTCAAACAATTCTGCATCTCTAGTTTCAAAAATTGCGTTCTTTTTAATCAAAAAATTTTTAGAGTCAATGACTAAAAATCTGTAAACATTACTGTGAAGAGCATAGCCTATGAAAACACAATCAAAATGACGTATAAATAAATTTCTCTAAGCTGACCGATATAAAAAGGATTGTGATCCATACTAATGAACCTTACTAGAAAAATCAGAAGTTTTTGACATAGAGTCCAAATACCTAAAGGTGTAAAGCCATAAGTAAATATCCTAAAAAATTAAAATAAGAGCAATGAAGTATTAAAATATATTGCACGACTTTGAATATAAAGATTTTTGCAAAGGATTGTACAAACAGATGCAATGACAAGTTAATGTCTTATTAGCTCATCTGCATGAGTTATAATATTTATATGAAATCGGCGAAGAATTTAATATGTCCAAAGTATATATTTCAAGTTATCAGGAAACTTATTCGATCAAAATACAATGGTACTCTACAACTTTTGGATTATGCAATATCCTCGTCATAGTGAATCCATATAAAAAAAAATGATACGAGAATGATTATACATGCTCGTGCACTTGTATAAAGAAACCAGTGTTTGAAATTGTCATTATTGATATATAAATTGATGATTCAATATTACTAGAACTCATTCAGAACTTTCAAATGGACTTTGACGGGGGTACATAAATTTTCACGTAATAATTCACATAATTACATGTGGTACATATACAACCTTTAATTCAAATCTCACATTTTCTCATCAACTACTCGATGATTGCCACATCACATTAGGTACCCCTCTATGTGCATAAATTATGTACAACAAACATTACCCCTTTCAAATACATTTGATTAGTTATATAAAGATTTTGAAAAAATAAAATTTTGTTTCGGCCAGCATATCAATCTTTTATCCAATTATATTATTGTTTATCATATAACTTGTAGTATACGAGACCTTGAAGAGAGTAACAACAATTGCTTTTGCCAATGTAATTGCATTAAATCATCATGCTAACTATAATCAACGAGTAATGGATGAATATCTAGAGATTGCTTGAAAGCTACAAGAAGACAAAATGATACATAATATTAAAGACATTGGCACACAAAATATGAGTGAAATGATACAATATTTCTTATATTTGAAATCATGAGTAGCAGCTTCACTTTTTTTCTTTCACTCAAATTTTGTCTCATTGAACTTTCCTGACAAGATTTTAACGAGACAATTTTATTTTTGCAATCCTTTTTCCTTCTTTGGTATTTTTGTCCCGTCGAATTTCTACCTTTCATTTTTCAATGGAAGCTTGTCACTATGTGATTTCTCAATTACGTCATGTCCTCCCCACTTTCGCATGCGCTCCGTTGTTTGTTCAACCTGCAATTTGTAGTTTCTCAATACAATTATAAAAAGGATATTTGGTAAGATAAATTTTCAATGAAAATGAAATTAAGAATTGCCAAATAATTAGCGAAAAAAATCTTCTTCAAGATCCAAAAACATGCCCTGGTATGCGAAGAGAGAAATTCAAACATCGTCAACATTTACAGTGTGCTTTTCGCTAAGCTCAAAAAGATTACTTATAAAATAAATTTCTTCTTTCCAAAGTAACTTTTTTTTTTGTTGGCTTAAAAAGTAAGAAAAAAGTAACATATATAAACATGTTTGAAAAATGTTTCTTAAAATCCAAAAACATTATACTATTAAATATGAAAAACATTCTCAGCAAAGTAGAGACACTAAAACCAACCTCCTTGTTCCAGTTGGTTTTGTATAGTACCAGCAAGAGCAGCAACGTCTGTAGGGCAACTCCGGCTATCATGCCACCCCAGAGTCCCTAAAAGAAAACAAAGTCATACAAATTGAATATAAATGATGTTGAAATTTGATATGAAGCAATTTTGACAGAGAGAACTTAAAATTCCTATCAGACTCAAAACAATACGATTCAACTCATTTCGGTGGTAGATATACCAAATTATAGCCGTAAACCCCGAGATGTTATTATGGAAAAAGATGAACAAAATTCTAGATCTCTAATTCAAATTTCTCTGAACTAACTCCCTCATGAGAAATTACCAAACCATTTGTCTTTCTATAAAATAAAAACGATTTACCTTCATCTAGACCAGTACATACCATCACTCCAAAATTCAACTCATTTCGGAGGAAGAATTATGCTTTCTAGAATCAGGGCCACAAAATTCTTGTTCTAATTATATCTATAATCGAATTTAGGATGCACATTCGTATAATATAGAGGTTCAAGTAAAATTTTACTTACCATCACTCCAAATTTAGCCACATAGCCAAGAACATATCCGAGAGGAATACCAAAAATGTAATAACAACCCAAGTTGATGTAAGCTACTAGAGCTTGCCACCCACCTCCAATGGCAACACCTGCAAAATGGCTCCGAAAAAATTACTCCGGGAGAGGAAGGGAACATGATACCTAGAGATACTATGGACCATATAGATGCGGTATACGATATGATAAAACTGAATCAATACCTGATATCACCGGTTGGACACTATTGAGAAGCATTGTAATTCCAAGAAGGATTGAAAGGCGAGACACTGCATGTAGCATAGTATCGCTACTCGTAAAAATAATACCTAAATGATTTCTTGTAGCTAGGACGACAATCATGCAAAGTATGCCAATCAGGAATGATTGAAAGACTGTGACGTAGACAGAATATTTGGTTGCTCTTGGACGTCCAAAGCCAAGCTCATTTGAGACGCGAACACTAGAATAGAGAAAAAAAAAGGCAGTAAAATGGTTAGTGATAGTAGACAAGATTTACAACATTGTCTATCTAATTGCAGTTCGTGCTATCTAATCTGTTCTGAAGCTAGCGTTACTACAAAGTGATAAACACCATTGCCATGGAAAAAAATAGTAATAAACATGTCTTGCCAAATCAGTCTAAATTCTTCAATCATTTCGGACATTTAAGCACAATGGATACCTGTTTTCTCCAAGGTTCCATTTGTTTTCGACGTCGAATATTTTCCAGCCACAAATGTTTTCAGGAGAGATTGTTTTCAGTGAACAAAATTATTGACGTTATAATTGAGCTTACTGAGAACAAAATAATAAGTGTAGATAAGCATCTCAGCTTCTTACCTTATAGCAGCGTTGACTCCAATGAACAACATGGTCTGCCACCCATCAATGTTCATGCTGAAAGATTACACGAAAAGAAAAGATTAGTATTGAATTGAAATCTTAGAATACAAAAAATTGAGTCGAGGCTTCAAATACATAATATCACAATTCTATAAATGTAAAAATGGTAGTATAAATTCTAGAGACTTGTTAAAGAAAGATTATAAAAATCTCAACGATTAATTTTCTATTCCAATCAACAATTCATAAGATTCTCATTGATTGGCATAAGATAAACTGGAAATGGACATTTGCAGCCCTTGAGTTATCAACGACAAATTATTTAGATACACAATCAAAGTGATAAAAAGAAAAAAAAAAAAAATCGACCATTCATTGAAGAGAGCCAGGAAAATTCCATACACCTTATTTCCAATTTCATTATGACAGGAGGATGTACAAAGTAGACTTATTGAACTCACCAAATAGAAAGGGAACCAACTGCAGTCACAGCATTGTCAAGGTCTCCGGCAAGGACAATGATGCTCATCATATACCAAATCTCGAGGCAAAGCATGACGGCAGATGCAAGGGAAAGCCTCACAAAGGCCCATATATCATAAAATGCGGACCAAGAAAATCCCTTCCAACCATCCTTGCACCAACCAACCACATAACCAAATTGTGCAAAGGCTGTGATCCAACCCGTAAGGTCAAATGCTATGGCAGCACCATATGTTCCCCAGCCAAATACATAAATGAAAAGCCAACATAGGAAAACTTGTGAAACCAATGCAAGGACCGCGATCCATGCAAGCACAGAAACTTTACTCTGGGCTTGAAGAAACTTCTGAGTCGGAAAACTGACAGCAAGGGAAAACAATTGAGGGAGAACTTGAAGTGTAAATACTCCTGCTTGATTTGCTATCTCATCTTTCTGTCCAAGGAGCTTCAGAATTGGGGTTGCAAACACATAGAGTGGCACCAGGACGACACAAGTGGCGAATAAGATTATAATTGAGCGTTGCATATAAATGCCAAGCATGTGAACTTGTCCAGCGCCAAATGCCTGACCAGCTAGCGTCTCAAGGGCACTCCCCATACCAAGCTAGACATATTGCAAAATAAGAATCTCGGTTTGTCAGTTTTGTCTCAAATTTCAAGACAAGGGTGCCAATGCAGTGTTTATAAAACACTGAATCATGAAAGAAAATCATCTATGATGACATTGACAAGAACAAACAGAAAACCTGAAACGTTTTCCTAAGGTTCAGCAATGTCTCCTATAGTTTTCAAACATATGCCCCCCTCTTTCTTTCTTTTTTTTTTCCCTACCGCGGATTCCGAATCAGAACATGATTGTCAAAAGAAGTTGCTATCTTATAAGCTGGGATCCACAAGGGTTCCCGTCCCAGCTTATAAGATAGAATTTTATTTATATATTTATTTTTGCTAAACATGCTCTCAACCTCATAACAGTTCACCTGAAAGCGAACATACTTCTATCTAACCTATAATGAAAGAGGCAATGCATTGTCACTGTGCATTGAGCCAGAAGTCGGCACCTCCTTGCATTTTTTGTTTTTTTACACGGAAACGACACTGTTTTCACAAAACGTTGACGTTTTGTATAGAAACAACGTCGTTTCTTTGACAAAAAGGCGTCGTTTTGCCGTAGGATTTTTATTCATTTTTGGCTTCATTTTCTACACTTCTTGACTTCAACCTTAGCAGCAGCTCTCCAGAACCTTCTCCATCATACTTCAATATGCTATTTGCTCTCCAATTACCAGTAGAGTGTCCAAAGCAACCCTAAAATCATGATTACGGGTTTGTTGTCTTGTGATTTTCCATAGTAATTTTTACATAATTGGGTGATTCTCCTCCTGGGTGAAGATATCTATGAATTTTATGTTTATCTTATTTGGAGTTAATTGTTCTAATCATCATTGAACTTATGTCTATGTCTTCGATTGTTTACTAAAATTTAAAATGTCAAGTTTTGGCCACTAAACTTTGAAAAGCATTATACGTTATTCACAGGCATAACTTCCATCTCAAACATCTAACGGAATTGGTGACGTGGCTGACGGAATATGCATGTGGCGTCTCGTCACAATGTTAAAATTTGTTATGGTTGAATTTTGGCCACTGAACTTTGAGATAGTCGAACTTTGGCTACTAAATTTTGAAAAACGTCTTTTATTGCTCACTATAAATTTGGATATAATTAAGCCTCTATTTATCTCCCCTTAAAACAAAACTTTTAAATTTTTAACCATACATTTACGCAATAAAATATTTTACACGTAAACTTAGATTTTTTTTCCAAATTTTTAACCACACATTCTTAAAAAAAATCATTATTTAAAACTCCATGTTTTTAAAAAAATAATGACCATCAAACATGGGTTAAAAATCGGATTTAATTTAATTTTAACAATAAATATATTGTGCTTCATTGTAATTAGTAGTCACTTCCTTTGCACAGCTTTGCAAGCATTGTATATCCTACGATAAATAATTACTCAATTACGCAGAAGTTAAATTTAATTTTAATTTATTCTTGCAAAATTTTAAGTTATTTTCATCATAATATCTGAATTTTAAAACGAAACACACAATGAATTTGTTGTTAAATAAAATTAAATCCATTTTTTTACAAAGAATTTTAATTAAATCCAAATTTATTGTGATCCATAGAAGATGTTTTTCAAAGTTGTGGCAAAAACTCAACCATCTCAAAGTTTAGTGGCCAAACTTCAACTATCTCAAAGTCGGGTAGCCAAAATTCGACTATCTCAAAGTTCAGTGAGTATTAGAAGATAGTTTCAAATTTTAGTGAGCAATTGAAGACGTTTTACAAAATTTAGTGGCCAAAATTCGATCACCTTAAAGTTTAATAGCGTGACGAGGCACCACATGTACATTCCGTCAGCCACGCCACCAATTTCGATAGATATTTGAAATGAAAGTTAGCCAATGAGTAACGGCCAACATTTTTCAAAGTTTAGTGATCAAAATTCGACATCTTAAACTTCAGTGAGCAATCGAAGACATCAAAATAAGTTTAGTGACCATTGGAACAATTAACTCTCTTATTTGAATTTATTTTCTTGGATCTCTTTTTTCCTTCGGGTACGAATCATCGTCTTTCTTTTATTTAGATTTCTCATAGTGTTTATACATTTTTGATTTCTAGGTTTCGTTTTTGTTTCATGGTTTGATTTTTTAAGTTTTCTTTTTGTTGGTTCGACTGGTGCTCTCCACTTTGCTGTTTTTTGTCGCAAAGTTATACAGCTTTCTGTTTTTTATTTTTTAAATGGCAAGAAAAGTCTCTAAAAATCTGTGCTTTTTTGTGTCTTCGATTTATTTTTTCTTTTTAAGTTTCATGAGTTCACGCTTCATGTCCAGAACATTTTTAACTTAAAAGTCAATAATTAATTTTAATTATATCCGTCACCCAGAACTGTAACTGAGACACACTATACTATCACAACATCCAAGAATCTGAGATAAGAACAAACATGGGGGTGGAGGAACTGACCAGGAGACCCAAAGAGAAGGTGCAGACAACGGACAAAGCAATAGAAAAGGCGGAGAGTTCAATATCTCCGAGATGCCCAACAAACATGGTGGCCACGGAGTTAGTTCCATACTGACACAGAATTTGAAAGGCTATTGGTCCGCCTATTCTCCATAGTTTCGCAGACTCTATGCAGAACACTTTCCAACACGGTTTAAGCCCTCTTATTGGGAGGTAATCCCCGTCGTCTCCGATGAGCTGCAACTCGTCGGCCTTCCTATCAAGCAGCGGTGCCACCTCCATCTCCGGCGGTGAAGACGAGAAGTAGAAGAGATGATTCAAAGTGTGGCTCCTGTGACGGGTCTTCTCTACTCTTAACAGCGGCTGAATTTGAGTTTAGTGTGATGACACGGTTAAATCCACCGAGCTCGTCCAATTTTATACAGTATCAATATCACCGCCTAATTTTATTTTTTATTTTATTTTGATCATCTAATTTTATACTTAGTATCATCATCATTCAATTTTATTTTATTTCATCATAATCACCCAATTTAAGATATAGTGTGTTTAGTAGAGATTAAAATCGAATTAAAATTGAAAAAATTAATCGTTATTGTTAACTTTTATTAGACGAGCGAGACACAACAACGGCTATATTTTCAATTTTAATAGGATTTTAATTCCTCCCAAACAAGCTAATAATGTTTCATCATAGTTACCTAATTTCATATAATATTTTAACCATGGCCACACAATTTCTTTTCAACATTTTCACTAATTTTAAAATGTGTGAAACGATAACTTTGTATTATATATATATAATAAATTAAAAAAATAAAAATAAATGTTTTTTAAATTTTAAAAATGTTAATTTTAAAATAAGTTTTTATTTTATTTTATTTTTTAAGCAACATTTTTTTAAAAATAAGTTTTTATTTTTTTAAGTAACGTCTTTTTTAAATAAGTTTTTATTTTATTTTTTTAAATAAGTTTTTCTTTTTATTTTTTAAATTTATTTTTGTTATATATAATGCAAATAATGAAAAGAAGTTAAGTGGTTATAATGAAATGTTATATGAAATTGAGTAGTCATTATGAAATATTATATGAAATTGGGTGATCATGGTGAAATAAAAATAAATTGGATGATTTTGATGACACCGAATATAAAGTTGGGTAACTATTGATGTATTTATCTGGTGATAAATAAAAGTGTAGGACAGAATCGAAGTTGTCCATCTGAAAAAGTTGCTATTTCAAGGTTCAAGCACATGGGATGACTGAAAATGAATAAAGAATATGTATTGCATCGCCATGATTCAACATTATTAATATGTTAAAATAAATCAAGTTGATGCCCACCGAGGATGAATATTTGAATAAAATAAAATAAAGTGAAAACTTAGCTGGTTGGATCATAGTCCATGTTGGATCCTTTTTATTTAAAAATTATTTATTTTTTATATTCATTTTCAACTATATATTCACCCATCGCCCCTGTTTGAGCCCCATTTTATTAAGAATTTATTTTTCTAAAACTCATTTTCAACCACACATTCTCCAAATAAATAATATTACATGTAAAACGAAAACTTGTTCTTTAATCGTACATTCTCCAAAAATCACTATTCGAAAATGTATTTTTCTCTCAAAATGGGGCTCAAACAATATTTTGCATGTACAAAAAAAAAAAAAAAAAAAAAAATTATATTTTTTAATCACACATTCTCTAAAAAATCAATATTCAAATCGAGGAATGCATATAAACTATTCTTATTTAAAAAAACTATACTATATAAAAAAATAAAATTATAATTTATTTTCTAAATTTGATAGGATCGAGCATTAGCTAATCCCTTTTACTAGTCATGTAAAATGGTGGAATTTTTTCCAACTTATCAAATAGTACAAAATTATGTCCCTGTTTGAGCTTCATTTTTTAAAAATAAATTTTGTAAAAAGTGATTTTTTGGAAAACGTGTATTTAAAAGTAAAGAAATCGTATGAATTTATGTGCAAAATTATTTTATTGAGAGAAATATATTGTTGAAAATAAATCTTAGGAAAAATTAAATTTTAACATAGGATTAGTCAAGAAAAAAATGTCGAAATCTATGAATTATCTAGTTCAATTTCATTTAATCTAACTTACTAAATATAGATAAGAAAGTCGACCCCAACGGTCCAACCGTTATTTGTTTATAAAATTGACTTTTTCAAGTAGTCAATCTGCTTTTTTTAAGTTATTTGTACAAAATTTACATGGCAATGTTTTTCATTCAGGGTGTGTTTGATATACCATGTTTTTCCTAGAAAATGGAGAATCTTTTCATTTTCCACCCTTTTAAGCTGTTTGATGATCCTTTTTTGCCATGGAATTCTTTTTCCTCCTGACACCTTCACGCGCCAATTTTCTGACTTTTCCATGAATTTGTTTTCTTGTGTTTTAGTTGGTTTTTCATTTTCCAGCTTCTTCTTCTTCTTTTTTTTTTTTTTAGCAATTGAAAAAAATTATAAGCATAATGGTAAAAAAATTATCACTTATCAACATTTTCCAAGTGAAAAATTATATCAATCAAACACAATTAATTACAATTCCCTGCAAAACATTTTCTAGACAATTATTTTCCCTGGAGATCATTTTCTTTCCACTCATTTTTCACCCTTGCAATCAAACACAGCCTTATTGTTACTAATTGAAGCAAAATAATTACTTTGTATTCTCGCAGGTAACAAAGAAATAAAAACAACATGGTTTTCATACCGATTTATGTATAGAATCTACGTACATTTCTTTTCATTGATAATTTGTTTAATTTACTAATTAACTAATGACAAACACACAATTTTAAACATAAAAATTAATGAGTTTCCTTTTGTTGTTCCTCACAATTATGAGTTACTTTTTTTTTTCCTTTTAATCAGTTTAGTCAAAATTCTCAAGTGACCACTCAACTTTATATTTACTGTCATCATAGCTATCCAATATAAGTTTATTTCACCATGACCACCCAATTTTATCATGGGTTATAACGTTTTATCATGGCCATCCAACCTCTTTTCATCAATTTTAAAATGAATAAAATGACAACTTTGCATTTATATATAAAATAAATTTTAAAAAATTAAAATACATTTTTTTTAAATTTTAAAAAACGTTTTTAGTTTATTTTATTTTTCTAAGCAACTTTTTTAAAAATAAGTTTATATTTTATTTTTAAAATGTTTTTTAATAAGTTTTTATTTCATTTTACTTCTTTAAGGAACCTTTTTTTTAAAAAAAATAAATTTTTATTTTATTTTTTTAAGGAAATTTTTTTTAAAATAAATTTTTATTTTATTTTTCTAAGTAACTTTTTTAAGTAAGTTTTTATTATATTTTTTAAGTTAACTTTTTTTAAATAAGTTCGTCTTTTATATTTTTTTAAATTTATTTTATATGTATATAATGTAAAGTTAGTGGTTTTTTTTTACCCCTTTTAAAATTAATAAAAATGGTGAAAATAAGTTGAGCGACCATAATGAAACGTTATATAAAATTGGATAATCGTAGTGAAATAAAATTAAATTTGGTGATCATGATAATACTAAGTTTAAAGTTTGATGTCCATGGTGATACTAAAATTGAATGGTCATGGGTAAATTTAACCCAAATTCATAATGGCAGATCTTCCATGGTACATATCTAATTTGACCAGGCAAGTAATAGAAGATTTTGTCCCATTTTTCAAAAATTCATTTTCAATCACATATTTTTCAATAAAATAATTTTACGCGTAAATTAAAACTTTTCCTTACTTTTTTAACTATAAATTTTACAAAAATTACTATTCAATAATGCGGATCAAACAAGGGCTAAACCGACTTCCCTCACTGATATATGCGTGTATACGAGCGAGCGAGCGCGTGAGGGGTCAATGGAGTGATGAGAGGATTGAGTGAATTGATGGATTAGAGAGAGTGTGTGTGGTGCAATCGAGTGGTTAGTGTCTAAAAGTCTTTTCCCATTTTGAGTAAATATTAAAATATTAGAGCGAAGGATTAGTACCTTGTGCAATACAACTAAATTGTACAATAATTTCTTGTTAACAAGTAATGGCACCTCCTACGCTGTATCAAAAATTTGAGGTAAAATTTACATTATTTTGTACCAAAATTTACACCAAACTAAAAATCATTTCCAATTCGTTACACCGAATGAACAGTGTTCATTCATTTTCTTCATTTTTTAATTTTTAACAATTTATTCGTTTATTTATTTATTTTACAATTACATGAATAAATAATTACGTTAACTTAATAAAAAAATTAAATTCATGAATTTTTTTTTAAAAAATATAGTACAATTAATAGAAACACTACAAATAAGAAAATATTAAATCACGTCATTAAAAAATAGTGCAATGCTTTTCAAATTCCAATATCATGATATTACAAAGTCAAAATAGAGTTGCAATTTCATTCCTGAAATTCGTATATTCATCCCACGAATGCTCAAAATAATGTGTTTTGGTGTACACATTAGAGTTGCTCTAAGTTATTTTGTTTGATGTTTAAATTCTACAATTTTGTATCAGATCCAGAGAGTTGAGGAATGAGTTTTTTAAGTTCTTTGAGATTCGCGTGCACAAAGTGAGATTGTGAAACTTCCATTAAGCATGCTTAATAATGAGGCACAACAAGTGACCTACAAGTAGTAGGTGGAATTAAAATGCTCAACAATTAGAACTATAACACATGACAAATGTGAGGGAATCATCTCTTCAAGGGTAAGACCTGTGGGACTTAGTCGACGACAGTGGCGTGAAACTGTCATAGGACATTAGGGATCTATATAAGCAGGTAAGGCTATGCTTGTGATAAAAACAACAATTAACAAAGAATTGTTAAAACACATAAGGGACAAAACACACCAAAAGGAAGCATGGGATACTTTTGCCACATCATTCTCTAAAAAAAAAAAAATAAATAAATAAAGAATTGTAGGTTGCAACTTCTTGAAAATGAGATACTCTCTATCGCAAAATTTCTAAATCAAACGCTACGAGTAAAATTCTAGAAGATGGAATTAGAAGAATATACATGGGTTCTGACCTGAATGTAGAAGTTTCATCGCTGCAATACAAGGTTGGTCAGAGCAACCTTCATTGGAAAATCTAGAAAATTTATTGGCCAACCAAGAATCATTGACCAAACAAATGTTAGGTATTTTATTAAAGAAAGAAGAGGAATAAGCATTAATCAACTATCAAAAAAAGTCAATCTTGTCAATAAAATGATAAAGAAGTAAAAGAAGGTAA